ATTAAAGAGATAAAAAGATCTTTACCCAATGAGTATAAACACATTTTTCCAAAAATATATTCAAATAAAATAAAACTATTTCCAAAAATGTTAGCTACCTACCTACGTAATTTTTTTCTTCAATTATTCCACGGTCAACGTTCAAATACTACAACGTACCTATTACCAGCGTTCTTCTTATGCATTTTGATTGTTTTAATTGAGAATTTAAATTTAATGGAACTGAAACTTTTTCATATTTTTTTAATTGAGCACATGAATTTAACGGAAAACGTCATAAAAAAGGTATTATTTGATTGTTCTAATTTGATGAGCGCCACAATTAACGCTTTAAAATTTTCATCTCCGCACAAATTTTCAACGACAAGTTTCTAGTAAACATACATGAATCCTTTTCACTATTGCGTTGTTATAGATTGAACTATGGAGAGTCTAATATAATCATTGTAATATGGATCTAATTTATAATATATAATAGGGAAAGTCTCATTAGTCAAAATATTGGTGTGACAATGGGAGTAGAAGTTTGAAATGAATTAAGAAGCATATACGCACTCAAATAACAACAATAATATACTCAATATATATAGTTTCACAAGTGAGATTTGAGGAGAAGGTGGAATGTACGTACGTAGACTTTATCTGTAAATATTATTTTGAATGGGCCCTCAGCTCAAGAAAATCATTTGAAAGAAATGCAGGTGACTGAAAAATGAACTGTGAGGATGAAAAATGTGGATTGATTTACATGGATCATGCTCTTTTTAAGCCACGTGAATAGGTTTTTCTAAGTGTTTAATAAGTTCATGATCTTTTGGTTTCGAAACCAACCTTGAACACTTTGATGTGGCAATACAGAGTCTTGTATTCCATGCAGAGGCGGAGCCAAGATTAGGAGTTTGGGGGTGCTAAATCAATTTTATTTGGGGGTTCACAAGTTATTATACATATATTTATTTAATTTTCTAATACATGGGTCTACGAAAAAGCTAGTGGGTTCGTCCGAACCCACAAACCCCCACCTAGCTCCGCCTCTGATTCCATGTTGGTTTTACATATTATTCAACAATTTGTATTTCGTTTATTATGGAGCATTTCCTTGTTACTTCATGTTATCAATATCAAACAATTATTATTTCTTTTTCTGTAATGGAATATCAAACAACTATTAGTGGAAGAAGACGATATATATCAACATATTTCTATCTTAAGTGAGTAAAAAAACCACTTAAGTACTTGTAAGTAAGAAATGAACCGGTTCAATCCTCATGTAATTTTGGTAATAGGTTCTTAGTGCCCAAAAGGTTTTGCAACTTTCTTAAATACATTCACAATAAGTAAAGAGTCGCCTTGACAGCTTCCACCCAAATGTATCTAATATGTTCAAGAAACCCTTTATACCCTATTGTTTGTTCCATGGCCTGCTGGGATTGCATGTCATAATAATATCACTAGAAAATTTCCTCACTATGCCACACAATTGCGATGATTTAGGCTTGTTAGTGTCTATCGTACACTCGTAGTTCTTGATTTTGTTATCTATCGTCGTCATATGTTGTTTATTGTGTTTTGATTACCACACTATTTTGCTGCTGTTATTGCTTCTTTTTTGTCGATTGTACACTGCTTTTCTTATTAACTTCTGTGCTTTCTTCATTACTTCATGCATCATTTTCTTCTTCTTTTATTTGAGTTTGATGCACTTGAACTGAGGATCTTTTGGAAACAGCTGAGGTAGTGGTAAGGTCTGTGTACACTCTATCCTCCCCAGACCCCACTTGAATAAGCCAATTCTACCGTGAATATTTTTGTAGTTGTAGGAAAAGATGTTTAACAAGGGATAGTACTCACATTTTTGTTGTTGTTTGCATGTACCACTTTGTTACATTTGTTAAGCACTTCCTTGAGTCTAACAACTCATCATCTCCTTGGCCTTCTACTTGACTACTTCCATCTAAGTAGTCAAGGTTAAGATTGCACTTATCAGGAGTTGTAATCCTTTACCTCCAAGGTAGGGGTAAGGTTTGCGTATTTTCTGCCTTCCCCAGACCCCCACTTTGTGGGATTACACTATGTATGCATGTTTTGTTATTACTATTCATATTGCTGAGTTAATCTTTCTTATACTAAGAAAATTTAAGGCTGAAAGTCATTTTGTGAGAATAGTATGTCAAGATTTTAGAACCATATGCTCCTGTATTTCCATAGATTGATTCCAACAAACAATAATGGGCAAAGTGTGGATGATCGATTGTCTTGTGTTGTTTGTTATTTCGGTGTCACTTGTGGGATATTATGCTACGAAAATATAAATTAACTTACATAGACCAGTAGCGTATAATTACGTTTACATTAAAGATGGATCCAAAATTTGAATGGTATAATTCTAAATTCTAGAATAACAACTTCAAAGAGCTAATAATTAAATTTTACATTTGATATGTTCATAATTATATTAATGAACTTCTTTACCTAAATACATTATTTAATTAAAAGTTATTGAATTTGATTGAGTATTACATTTTTTCGTATTATTACAAGTAATCTGCTTTAATTTTCACTTCTCATGAACCATAACCTTATAAATATCTTTTACTCATACATTTGATAGTAGTATATTATAGCGTGTATAGAATTATTATTGAAAAATTGACATAAATAGTCGTCGATCAAAATAATAGGCAAAAATATATATATTTTATATATTAATGTATCAAATACATAATAATGTATATACTTATATATATTTTACTAATAAATATAATTATTTTTGCCAATCGATCAAATATTTTACTTGCTTTAATCTCACCTTAATTCTACTAATCTAAATTCATGTAAGATAAACCCACCAAGGTATAAATAGCTTCTACCAAAAAATAATTCTATTTTCAGTATTCAAACTCGAAATCCTTCCCATTTATTAGCAGACTAATATTTGTTATTTTTAAATCTGGCCGTTGAAGAAGGGGAAAAAAGGACATGCTCTTATCTACTTATATTGGCCACAACTAAAACTAGTTATATCTCCAAAAAGAAAAAGAAAAAAATCTATAGAGATGGCTTTCTCTGCTGCATTTTCACACACCTCCTTCATATATTCTTCATCTTTCTCACAAACCAGAAAAAGTAGAATTAATTATAGCCCTTTTATTATTAAAGCAGAAAATAATTCATCTGAACCAAACGAAAATAATGAAAAGCCAAAATCTCAACAAGCAGCAGCAGCAGCAACTTCTTCTAGTACAACAGCCACTGCATCAAAGCCTAAAAAACCTGTTTATTCTAGTGAGTAATACTATTTCATGAAAATGTCTCAAATTTCACTAAATTTTTATACAAGTTTTTTTTTTTTTTTGGTTGGCAGTGAAGAAAGGCCAGATAGTCAGGGTGGAAAAGGAGAAGTATCTGAATAGCATCAATGTGAGTATTTCTTTTTTTCTACTTATACTGTGCCTTCACGAGGTAATGGTAAAGTCTACGTATATTCTACCTCCTCAGACCCCTTTAGTGGGACTTCACTGGAGAGGTATGAGAATACATATCATTTAATTATAGTTGAGTGATAAATGTGTATACGAAAGACACATGTTATATTCATTAATTTGTTATAAACATATATATACTATAATTGTTTACCAATCAGCATTGTACCCTCTACATGCTTATGATAATTTTTTTTTAAAAATTAAAATATAATCTGAATTGGAAGTTGTGGACACCCTTGCACTGGAATTTGACAGTTTATTTTTATATAAATTTCTTCAGTATTTGTCTGTTGATCATCCACCTTATTACAAAGGCCTAGACTACATATATGAAGACCGTGGTGAGGTATCATTTTCTTATTTTTCTATGAATCATGTTAAGGGAAAAAAACACAATTTGGAACAACATTTTATTTACAAAATAAACTAATCATATATCTGTTTAGGTATTGGATATTCGCATATTCGAGACAGGAGAATATGCACTTGTAAGTATATATTTTTCGAAATTCAATTTATTATATCAAAACACACCTCGAAACATAAATTTCACTGAATATATAACCTTAAAGAGATCAAAGTTGAGACTTTACCTATGCTGCAGATTGGATGGATTGGAATACCAACTGCACCAGCTTGGCTTCCAACAGAGATGCTAATTAAGGTAATTAGCCTTTTGAAATCATTCAAAATACTATAGCAGCAATTTGCATCATTTCATGAGTACCTTATATGGTACACTATTAACAAACCTCCTTGCACTTCAAATGAGAATCTCTGATGAAATTATTTTGGACGAACTCATAACAATTAACTATGTTAGAGTGGGGGTTAAGTGTCTCACATTGGTTAGGGAATGGACTGGTGGTTTGCTTATATGAACTTGAGCAATCCTCCTGTCTTGAGTTAGGCCCAAGTGTCATATACAGTTTCCACCTTGCTAAAAAATAAGTGGTTTGTTATGTAATCACACATTCCCTAACCAAATCCAAAATTTGCAGTCTGATAAGCTGGATTACGAGAGAATATAGTGGCGCGAGTCCACAGTTTCAGACCAGTACATGCCAGACAAGAGTACATCAAAGTGGAGCATCAGATTGACCACTGCTCATTGAAGATGAAGAGAGATGAGATGGACACACATCCAGAATTTACTTATTGCTAAATATACTATTTATCCTTAAAGATCACTCAATCAACTTCTCAGTTGACACTAAATAATAGTCAAATTGACTCTTACAAGCATAATATGACTATTCAAAAGGTAACTGATTCAAAATGGACTATTCAGTAGGTAAAAGAGAGATTCCAGCAACAATTAAAAGACGTTCTAGATCAACTGAAATATAAACAAACAATCACAATCTCCAATGTAATCCCAAAAGTGGGGTCTGAGGAGGCTAGAACTGAAATATGATATTAGTTTAACACAAAATACCTTCCACATTGAATAGAATGGAGTCGGTTTATAAATGAATATCGAAATGTATGTTTCAATGTACCATTATTTTTTCATAAAATTATAGTGTACACACAATATACAGAAGGCAGGTAACCGGAAAGTCTCAGTGTACAGTAGCCTGTAAAAAGGGAAGGTGAGGAGCAGGTGTATAGGGTATAAGTTATCTGTATTTTTTTCTGTAAACAATGCTGTACTTGGAATCAATATCTGAAAGCAATGAGGGTGGAGAATGGAATGAAGAAATTAATGAAGAAACGATGCCAGGAAAAAGCAGAACTTACCGCCTTCTCCTAGCACGCTTAGTAGCATTCATAAGCTCTGTCAACGAAGGAAGGGGTCGAGGCACTGGCACATGCATAGACCGGTATAATTTTCTCAAACTTGGGTTATAACTGTTTGACAATCCAACCGCTGACTCAAAAATACAATTCTCTGTTTCTGTGTGCATCAAGCTCTCTTTACTCATGATGTCTAAACTTTCACTTACTGCAAAGGCCTTACCAGCTTCCACCACAACTTCTTCCTTCTTAAGTGAAATAACCTCTAACTCGTCGGAACATCTGATTACAGCATTTTCATCTGGAAGTATAGGCTCCTTTTCTTCATGTTTGAAATAAGAACCATTGAGCCCAAGCCTCGCCCTACCAAATAATGTTACTGGGGCGGCTGTTTTGCTTGAAGGAGACGGATTTGACTGCCTACAAATGCTAAAAGATGATGTCGTCGACTGGGAGTTTTCTGCATAATCTTGAGCATTGCACTTGGCTAAAGGTGAGCTAGAAACCTCAACTACATCTGGAGCTGTTTCTATATCAACTTCAGATTCCACGTCCATACTGAACCCCAAAAGTTGCCAGAAAGGGTCATTAAAATTCCGATGTTGATTAAAAAGACGCTTCACATAGTCCAGCTCCAGAGCCTTACAACTAGGTGTTGTAGAGATGACCCACCTAGGTGCAAGAAGTTGCAAAGCCCACTCCAGTTCTTCCTTTGATGAGTGTATGGAGTAACAAATGTGCCAGACACCAAAAATATCTCTCACTGGTTGATCACATTTTCCCTTCTTCCAACTTTCAATATCTGAACTACCATCATCGCATGCATACCACTGTGCTGATGCTCGAATAATTAGAGGCTCATGCTGAGAATCAGACCGAGCCTGTGCAATCTTGGCTTCTGCTCTTTGGTACAGTTTTGGAAACCCATCAAACAGTTGAAAACGAGAAGATGTGTCTTCAGACAGGATTTCAGGCACCATTAGTTCCAAAGCCTGAAAGCATTCTGGAGTTTTAGCTTTATCGACATATATTTTGCAACCAAATGTCTGTGAAACATGCATAAGTATATCCTCGTGGCCAAGAAGATCACATGTCAGATAGACTGTAGGAGCTTGAGGGTGCTTCCATATGCAATTGATGATCTGTTTGTTTGGAAAAACAATTTAGTGATGTTCAATATATTTATCAATCAAACAAGTGAAAGAAAAACGAAAGGTCCTATGGCTCATAGAATAAGCGTTAAAGACCGTAGACTAAAGAAGAACGATTCATTTAGGGGCTAAAGCTATTGTTGTATTTGATAAGCATGATAATAGAGCAAGAAACTTGAGTACAGTAAGAATTAGTAGATGGTTAAGGCGAGCTTTTCTCTAGCAATTGATTTGAACCCAGTGGAACTTTGATAAGCCCAACTATTCTGTATCTCCGGCTTGAATGTACATCTTTCCTTTTTAATTCCTTCCAAAATGGTGTCCATTCCAAAGACGTCCTTTCTCATCCCAATACTCTGTCCAGTTAAGCATGGATCTTCAACAATGGTATGGCAAGATACCAATTATTTGAGCAAACCTTAATAGAAAAACTGACAGTGGTTAACATGCTATGGAAGGAAGTCATTATTGCCAAATATGGGATGGAAGATAACTGGACAACAAATGGTTTCCATACCATACAGTTCACAGTTTGGAGAGCTATCTGAAATTTATGGCCTCTGTTGAAGCGAAAAATTAACTACAAAGTAGGTAATGGACAAAAGATTTCTTTTTGGAATGATAACTGAATAGGGGGTGCACCACTACAACATCAATTTCCAGATCTCCACAACCTTTGTATCCTTCAACAGGCCACAGAGATGTGGACCGGTCAAGGATGGAACCTAAACTTAAGGAGAAACCTGAATAATTGGGAAGTGGGAAGAGTAGCAACTTTTTACACCATTATGGCCAGCTTCAACAATCTATCTGAGGAAAGGGATACCATAGTATGGAAGAAAGAAAGGAAAGGTATTTTCTCTATCAACTCAGCTTACAGAGAACTGAATAGATCAAATCATAGGGAGGAAAACTGGCCATGGAAGATGATATGGAAGACCAAGATCCCATACAAAGTGAACAGCTTCATATGGTTACTGGCTAAGGTACTGACACATGACAACTTGAACAAAAGAAAATTTCAACTATGTTCAAGATGTTTCTTATGTGGGAACAAGTAGAGACAATTAGTCATCTCTTCTTGCACTGCAAATGGACAGAACAACTTTGGAGGATGTTCATCAGCTTGAGGAAAATAAATTGGGTAAAGCCAGGGAACATCAGAGGAGTCCTCAGCAGTTGGAATAGTGATGGTAATGCAACAACAAAAGGGGAGATGGAAGATTGTCCCAGCATGCATATGGTGGACTGTATGGAAAGAGAGAAATCATAGGTGTTTTGAAGACAAGCAGAATGGACTTCATAGCTTCAAGATGAATTGTCTAGCGTTGTTTTATTTTTGGTGTAAACAGAATATTTTAGTCCAAGCAGAAGATATCTTGGATGTTTTAGATTATTTGTAAGAAATAGAGGTGATAGGTGGCACTGTAATACCTTTTGAAGGGGAACTACATATTTTGGATGTAGTTTACCTGTGAATATATAGATCAGTGTTACTATCCTCAAAAAAGAAAAACAGACAGTGGGACCAAGATACATTTTTTTCTGCCAAGCAAAATTCTAAACAGCCTGATCAACACCGGTGCTTGATGTCTCTAAGAAAAAAACACTGTTGAGAGCAGTCCAAGTTGTGGGTTTAGGGATTTTATAACCCTTTCATATAAAAGGAAAAAAGAATCATCGTGAATGCTTACGACAGCATACTCAGTTTCTTCACCAATTGTAAGCCATACCTATAATGAGAGTGTGAACTAAATTTATCAACAAAGGAGATTGTAAATTATTCTTTATTGATACTTGATAACCATAAGCTCACTACTCACCCGCGATTCACCAACAAGGCAGCAACCTTCACAACTTGTGCAGGTAACATTTCAAATACGTTGGCCTTTCGGAGGACACACTATGGCACAGTATACATGTCTTCAATACAAACAAAAGAGTGTTGTATATAAAAATCCTGAACTTCCTCATGTCATTTTTAAGTATCTAGCCGCTTTTGTTCTGCTTCATTGGGGATAAACTCAGGGTCACACCACTAATCTGCCCTATGAGCTTCAGTGAAGTTGGATACTGAATTGTAAGATTTAGCAAGGACATGCACTATCTAGATCCAGTGACAGGACTTGATTTATAGACTTGATTTGTATAGGGTGAATTGAATCAAATCATTGAACACAACACTCAACACAAGAAGCATCTGACAACTAATTTCCCACCAGTAAAACAAGTTTTTCTCTACTATTCAGTAAAACCAAATTATAACGAGGTTTTACCAAACAAAGATTGCAATAGGAACAGTTGGTTTCACCAGTTATTACCTCAGCAATTTTAACAAAATTAACAGTTGAAGAAAAATTCTGCCGTGCTTATGGCTCTTGACTTCACAAGAATGAGTGTTCTTTTTTCTGGATAAAAATATGGCTCATGATTTTACAAGAATGAGTGTTAGAACCTGTTGCATCGCTGACTGCCTGCTCGGCATCTTCAATGGAGACTGACCAAATGTGCAATCAAGGAAAATGCAATCAATCTGACACTTCGGTTCTTTTCCAGGGGTGCCCACATACTTTAGGGGTAATTGTTGCAAGCACTCAATCGTGAGTCTGCAATCTCCTGTATGTAGGAGATTCCCAAATTTGCCTTCATACAAGAACATTAGAGCTCCTGCAAGTTGTTAACATAACGCCAAACGTTTATCGCTGTAACCCTGTAACAACAAAGGTACTGTAGAAGAACAGAATGAAGATGAGAAACTAAACCATTAAATTAAAGCTTGAGGTGTGACCAAGATACAATCTTTAAGGCATTATTTTCCCCTACTCATCCAGAGTTTGCATTTTGACTATAAGAACACTAGGTATATACAACACAACCTCTTAAAAAATAAACATAAAAAAGGTAAAGAAAAGAGCAGCAGATTGCACTTTACTAGGTAGACCCTAATAAGCCTAGAGTCATATATCACAGTATTGTGTCTTGGTATTGCGAAAGATTAGCAAAAAGTTGCAATTTTCCAAGAAAACTCACTAACTTTAAGGATTGATGCTCTTTCTTAGCATCACTTTAATGCCCATCCAAAAACATATGAGATTTTTGCAAGTAGACTGCTCACTTTAGGTTCCAACAAGAGAGACAGATAAAAAAACAACAAAAGATCCCCATGGGATGGATTAGAAAGAAAAATAAAAATCCCACACAATAGTACGTAAGCACTAGTCACCTAGCTCATAGATAGGACTGCTGCATAAGAGAAGTGAGCAGCCAAATACCGACCTAACTAAAGTAAATAGAATCCGTCAAGGACGAAGAAAGGGGGTCGCATCAAGTTTTCCCCACCTCGTAAAAATGAAATGAGGTGATCACCATTTTTTATCAGGCAAAGTGGATCTCAGTGAACTTGCATCCAGTACATGCATTCGAGGTACAGAAAATAAGAGTAGCTCCTGTACAATTGACACATACCTCCTATAAAAAATGAAATGAGGTGGTCACCACCGTGACACAACTTCCGCAACTTGGTACCCAACAATCTACACAGTGTCAGTACACCAAGTCTGAGAAATGTCAGAAAAGTGAGCAGGGAAAACACATGAACAAACAAGTGGACGCAAAGTGGTGGGTGCCACTGCCACCATTACACTTTTGTGGTCAAAAAAGCAGGTTAAACCACGAGGTCTAGGTTTCAAATATGTACCTCATGTTCAAATCTCACCAAAGGCAAAATAAACTAGGTGATTTCTTTCCATCTATCCAAGCATGGGTAGACAAAGTTACCCGGTACTTGTATTGGTGGGACATAGTAAGTACCTTGCGGAAAAGTCAAGGTGCACACAAGCTGGCCCAGACACCATGATTATTTAAGAAAAAAAAGTTACTGCAAACTCTCTTACTCAATTATCTCATTAAAAAATCAGTTAGTCCTATTTGTAGACTAACAAAGGCACCATTCATGACCGGCCTTATCTTTGCAAAGGGTTGCCTTTCAATAGCGTATCCTTCCATGAAGAGTCACGACTTTTCAAACAAAACACTCTTCATGCAATAACATAGCCTTTCCGAAAAGGTAGGGGACTAGCATTGGTGAAATTTGTTAACTACACCAACAGATATGCCTGAATTTAATATAACCTGGAGTGTACATTACAACTAATAAGAAACTTCTAGTAATGAACAGCACAAACAATAACAAAATATGAATAGAACAGAACTTCCGAGAAAAAAATATAACTAGAAAGAATTGTCTGAGCTCAAAAAGATACTGGAAAACAGAAATAAGAAAAACGGAAAAAGGAGAAAAAGGAAAGATTTAAGTCCTCACTGCAAATTCATAAACACACCTGGGCAATGATTGGCATCAAGGGCAGTAACCGTGAAATCACCATCAGGGTCCTTGATCACTATACATTGCCCAACCTCAATACCCACAAAAAATGATCCATCAAGCTGTCCAAAACACGTGACATTTCAACATTTCCAGACCACATTGAGAAAACAAAAAATAACAAGTAACAGACAAAAGAGCCAAACTCAAATTCCATCAACAACATACAGGTCATCTCCAATACTCCCTCTAATACAAGATTACAAGCTATTGAGTCATCACAGGTATGCAAATGATAAGGAACATTTGTATTCTAAAATCGTGTAAATTTATGTTTTGAACTACTAGTTTTATACGTCGCACGTCTTGTAGAAAACGCATGTGGCTCGTAAGAGCTTCCATATTCTTCCTTCAATTTGGCTTGATTCAAGTCTCACCACTAGGTAGTACAATTATTACTACTCCCTCCGTGACATAAATTTATGTGGTACTTTTAGCTTTTCGAGAGTCAAGTTGATTAATCTTTAAAACTAAATTGGACTAGATGAACTAGATATTTTAAAATTAAAATTTAGATATTCAAACACTATACGAAAGGCAATGTAATTGTAATTCTTCTCATGTCAACATTGTTAAATGGACCTTGAGCCTAACTCAACCGCAAAAGTTAGTTCAAGAGGGAGGATTTTCCAAACCATATAAGGAGTCCCGGGATTTATCCCTTCTCATCAACCCCACATGACCGAACATGGTCCGGTCCCAGGGCACAGCGTGCACGCCAGGCAGGGCGTGAACAATCTATCCGGGGGCCAAATCAGAGGCCTGGCTTTAATACCATGTTAAATGGACCTTGAGCGGAACTCAACCCAAAAGATTGTCCAAGTCATATAAGTAGTTCAAGGATTATCACTTTTCATGAACCTAACGGCTAACGGCTAACTCAACTCCAAAAGCTAATTTAAGGGAAAGATATTAAGAATTCATCACCAACTTAATTAATATTTAAGATATTTCAAAAAGAATCAACAATATTTAAGAGTTATAGAGAATTAAAGGAATATCTCCGGAATGAGTGTTCTACATAGAAAAGTCTGAAAGAGTAGTTCTAAAAATAAGTAGTTTGAGGAACATTCTAGAATAGAGAAGTAATTAATCTTATAGTTAGATTCTTCCATCACCACCTATAAATAGAAGTGGTCATTTGAGTTATAAGCAAGCAACTAAGAAAACAAAAAGCGACTGATCAAGTGAGAACTAAGAGATAGCAACATAGAGACTTACTAGAGTGAGTGCAAGCAAAATTGTGTGTTAGAATTGTAAGACCGAAGCAGATTTTACTTTGTAATAATAAAATTCAAGTTGCGAACAAGCAATTGTGCCAACAAATATCCAACAAATGATTGCCAAAGCCATATTACGAGTCCAGTGATTTTATCCTATCCCATCAAATATGATGAAAATTTACATTTTAAAATATTGGTCAAAATTCACATAGTTCCAATCTCGAAAAACTAAAAGCACCACATTAAATTGAGATAGAAATAGTAACAAATAGTACTTATTACTTTTCAGGCGATTGATTGCAGAAATCTGATCGAAAATCCAAAAAAAAAAAAGAGTACCTGAGGAAAATGCTGTAAAACAAGAGTTCTGGTAAGACGGGAACAATAAATTGGATATGAACCATAAATACAAATCCCTTGAGTGTGATCCTTATGAGCATGTGTTAAGAAATGATTCTTCGTGCTCGACTTCGAACTCCATGTATCTACTGAAAATGGCAGCCCTTTTAGCATCTCAATCGGCATTTTCGCTCAAGGTTGAAGATGGAGATTTGAGAGGGAAATTGTTCAATTCAACATCTAAAATAGAGGTCGAAATGGGTGGGAAAATTGCGAAACACGATTCGTACGGAGGAATGATGCTGTGTGGTGAGGTTTATTTTATGGTATTGTAGACCGCCAATTTGATTTGATGCAACCGTCTCTTTTGACGGAGTCGTTTAAATAATATGAAAAATTTAATTCAGCCCTCAAAGTTTGAGATAATTACAAAATTTTCCTCAAAACTTTTAAAATTAAAGAGTTTGATCTCTTCCTTGTGCAGGTAAGATGAAGGTTAATATTAATTATGGATCGTTAAACAAGGTCTCAAAATAGCAAAAGAAAAGGCAATGATTATGAAGAATTCGAAGTAGAGACGAGTTGTTTAATAATTGTTGTTACGCTTATCAAATTATGAAGATGGTATATACTGTGTGAATTTCTTAATGAATGAAAGGTTACCACATGAAGAAAATCCGCTTATATGAAAAGATACGTTCAAGAAAGTGAAGTTTATTCTCCTAACAGATTTAAGTCATATAGCTTAGAAAAGAAATTAAGATTTTTTTTAAAAAAATTCAATATACCCAAAAAGGGGGAACAAGAGACACGAGTGATAACTTTGAAGCGACGGTAGGGGTGTGATGGGAGCAACGATGGTGAGGTGAAAATGATGTGTATCAAAGGATGGAGATGACATATCAGCTGTCAGCATAACGAGTTCACGAGATCCAATTAAGCCAAAAATAAGTGTCTCTACTTAGTCACTAAATAATTTAAATATCATTTGAAATCAAGAATAAATTTGAGTATCAGCCAACGTTATATATATACACACGCATTATTGTGTATCAATTGATTCGTCAAGGGTTAACCCACTGTCATTAGCTCTTTAATATAATTACATACACAAACAAATTAACACCTAATCATGAACCAACATATATGACGTTTAATCTCAACTAGATCTTCAATTTTTAAAAAATACAAATTAAAGAATTGATGTACAATTTAGCCATGATTGGAACAACTATACAAAAATATATATATATAGACTTAAAAATGATATACAACCAAACAGAGACAACTATACAAAAAGTATACTAATCAACTAGTAGGCCAATTGGGGAATGGGACTATTATATTTTTAAAAAATTAAAAAATAGTAAGACAGGAACCACAAAGTGGCCCCCTTAATTTTCTAATCATTAATAAGTCCATCTAGAAATAGTTTTCAAAATTCAAGAACAAAATTTGAAAAAAAAAATGGCAATTAAAGATGGAGCTAATAAAGGGTCAACCCCACCCCCAACAACCTTATACTTTAATGAGAAAAACTAATCCGTAGTTCGTTTCGAATATGAATCATAAAAAATTTCTAATAGAAAATACTTACCCCTTGAAGAGTCCTACGTGTCACAAGTTCAAATTAATCGAGAATTTAATGTGAATATCAGATAGAGGATAAGAAACCAAAAAGGAAAAGGAAACACATTATTTTCCTTTCTTTCATGTTCCCTTAGATCCAAAAAAGTCTAGCCTTTTTACCAAGTCTACCAAATAGAAGACGATAGAGGCCAACTATGGTTGCCTTGCACAAGACGTTGCCAATACACTTCAATTTTTTTCCTTTTTAGTCAATTCCAATGATATGCTTTGGCGATTTTACCTACCAAATGAAAGGCTTGCTAGGTGATTGATAATGCAAGAGAAACCCGGTATTCGCTTCTTCGTGAATATTCATAGCTAAGTCTACTATAAGAGCACTATGAAACGACTTAATCAAGTGATCATCTTGCATTTACATTGAGAATGAAATACATTTTACAGATCTTATATTCAAGAAAATGCAATTCCCTCCATCATGCAACCAAACTCCTGGTCACCTAAAATTTCTCTTGATGATGATGCACCCATCAAATAGAAACGAATCGCTTAGAAGGAGGCATAGTTTCTGCAATTCTTTTCCTAGAAGGGGACCGACCACGCGTGGTGCAATGCAAGAAAAGAAAACTTTCACCTCATACATCACATGTTACTAAAGAATGGGTCTTGTTCTGGGGGATCTAGATGGTGTCTGAGCTCTAAATTGAGGGATTTCAAGCCATGGCTCAAGTGTGGTTCTTGTGCTGGGCCTTGCTTGAAACATTGAGTAATCATTTGCCTCGTATCCACTCTGGCCCCCGATGCCATAAGATGGGTGAGGAGGAGAAAGATAACAGCTTTTACGGGCAGGTTCATACTGTCTTAATGGGCTAGACGTGGGGGATACTGGTAAAGATGTTATGGCTTTTACACTTTCCCTGTGGATGTCAAGAAAAGAACAGTTAGATACATCTGTCCTCCGGCATGAGTAGAAAACAGACTAAAAAGTAGATACATTAAGGTACAAATGGTTATCACCTTGTGCAGATCAATGGTCTAGAGACTGTGATCACTGGATGGGATGCATAGTTTCCTTCAGCGGGGGAAATATTCCTTCCAGGAGAAATATTTCTTCCACCGGGATGCAGCTCCAACACTGGCTGTAAAAAAGCAAATTGAAAAGAGACTTTCAGAGGGATATATACCAAAACCACTTAAAGGCAAATGGAAAGCATAAATGATCAGTTTCAAAAATCTTTATCCCAAGTGCCTCCACGTCCTTCGTGGTGTTACAACATGGATGGGTGAACTACCCAAGTATTGTTGCTAAGCTTTTCTACCCGTCCCATTCTCATAAAAGTTGCTTTTAATAATTTTTGCTGATGTTGGATTTGATTGGGCAAAGGTTCAGATGAGTATTTGGTTTGATCAGCTAATTTGCACATTTTCGTGTTTGTCCATGTTAAGTCAATTAAACAAAACCATGTGCTGTTGCATTAAGCATCTTCAAGAGCTATTTCTGTATAACGGGAGTGTGATTCTATTACCTAGGCAAATTCCTTTGCACAAAATGTTGCTCAGGAGAACTAGTCCTTCGTGAACTGTGGCTATAAGCTTATAACGTCTGAAGATATTCAGTTGGCAATAGTAGGGTTCAGCAAGTGGTTAGACAAGCTGCGAACTGGAATAGAAAATGGCCTACGAGCATCCAGTCAGGTGTATGTTAACCCAATAGTGATTAGGCTGGTAGTTGATTTAACATTGAAGAGTGAAACACACAAACTAGAGCACACGGTCCAAGGGTAGAGGGCTAGATTGATTGGATAAACCGTCAATTGGCTCATACTAATATTTAAGACATATTACACATAATTATTGGGTAAAAGTTGTAAACATAGCTCACAAGGTTATATTCCATCTCTTCTTATAATTGCTCTAAGTTAGAAACCTACAAGGAACATGTATATACGGTCTAGTTTACCAAGTAGCATCAGTTAGTCATATATTAGGACCTGTGTTTGTAAAACCATTGTTTCATGTATATATGGTTTTGATTCCTTACGGTTCTCCTTAGCAAGGGTGGATAAGGTTTAAAATTTTGGGAATTAATGTGACAGGGTATGAAATAGGGTACAACAACAACATACCCAGGGTAATCCCACAAGTGGGATCTAGGGAGGGTGGAGTGTAAGGTAGTAGAGAGGTCGTTTCCGATAAACCCTCGGCTCAAGGAAAAATAGATCGAAAAATAAATAATCGGAAGTGAAGAAATCATGACAAAATACTACAAAAGCATGGCAAAACATTCCGAAAAAAGAACAATAACTACAACAAAATCGTGTGATAATCGATGTACAAGAGACAGTAGATAGTAACAGAAATCTAAGGATAAGAAACTACAGAAAAAATTCTACAACGACTAGTATGGATACGGTACGGAATAGAGTAAGATTGCGAAAAGGCCATATACCCCATTAAGACTCAGCTGGTATCTTCTACTAGGAGATCATTTCTGTTATAATTTCTACAACTTTTTAATTGCTAATCATGATCTAGCTTAATTTACAAAATTCACTGAGAAAGTCCTCCTTGATGTCAGTTGACTATTTAACTACGACAACACCAACTACATCTCAGTCCCGAACACGTTGGGGTCAGTTATATGAATCCTCATTGACCATGTTACATGAACCACCAGATCGTAATTTCAGAGAGCTACATTCTCTAAACACAAAAGCTACAAACTAATGGTCCTTTGTAAGGCCCACTTTGAACTTTTACAAGATGGATCTGATTTGACTTGCGCATTCGGGATGGACACAAGTATGCAGCTTTATTAAGATCAAATTGCAGATACTGATCCACAAAAATGACTTGAAATCAGAAAGCAATTAGCTATAGTTTAATGAATTCCTAATCAACATTTAATCCGATTTCACGGTTATTAATAAGAATTGGTAGGTCCCTAGTGACAGACAAGTGGAAGAAAGGTGCCACATCTCTCTAGAAAGGATAACTTCCACTTAAGCACTTCTCCATCTCTTGCTATTTATTAAGTTCCTTTTTTTTTGAGATAAGGGTAACTTTGCTATTTATTAAGTTCCTTTCTTGAAGTTTACTCAAATTTCGAACTCAGTGATTTCTAGTTTGTTCAGAGAGTAATTTCACTTTTTCCAAGACTATTCATTATAAATTTTGCCAAAGGAAAAAGAAGTAAAAGACTCCACCAGACAAATGAAAAATCTCAAAATCTTTACCGGTGTCCGGCTTCCATCAAAGGAACGAGGATATGATTCTTTGGTTACACCGACATGAGCAACTTTTGCTGTACTTTGGTTTTTAACAAAAGGGTGCTCTAGTAGTTGAGAAGCTGTAGGTCGTGTGGACGGCTCCCGCTGCAAGCATGACCTTATAAAGTTTTTTGCATCATTAGAAAGGTGTTCTGGAATTTCAGGAAAGTCTTTGCTGTTTCCAATTTTAAATATGGCGGCAACCTGTTGCATAGAGGGCAATCAAAGACACTTAGGTTTGAGTTCTTTGATGATGGCCTCAGTAGAGATGATCGGTAAATCCATTTATCAAATATTCCAACATCTTACCCCTTCATACTGGCTCCAAGGTG